TTCTCCGGAGAAGCGAACAATGTGTTGGGCTTGGTCTAAACTCACTAAATCAAAACGTGAGGCGGTATTGATCTTCGAGATATCCAAAGCTTTAATGATGCTTTATTAGCCAGACAAAGTTGGAGGATCATTTCCAAAACAACTCGCCTCCTTAGCCGAGTTATAAAAGGAAAGAATTTTTAAGAACAAAGCCTTGTCAGAACAAGAGACGATCACTAAAGCGGTAAAAAATGCATGGGAAATTGGGAATGGCAGTTGGCCCAAGGAGAAGAAAAGGTTGTCTCAGGGAACAATAAAGAATGGCTTTCTTCTCACCAGGCTTGGGCCGAGGACGTTGTTATCTGCTTCACAGACGGATCATGGCATGAGGACAAGTCCCTTGCCGGTTTTGGGATGGGTATTTCAAAAGAAAGAGTCACCATATGCAAACTTTGAAACTTTTGACCAACAGAAAGAAATCTTTGCACTTGTTCAAAACATCAAAGCTTTCATTCCCCTGTTTTCTTTTGTTGTATTCAGCTATATTCATAGATCAAAATTAATATGGCCGACTCTGTGGCAAAGAGTTCGCTGCGAAATTTGATTGATGTAGCCCACATTTAAGTAATGAAGTTCTCAGTGTTGTTGTCCAAAACAAACAAAAAGTACTTGATTGTTGACAGAAGTATCACGCAAAGATTGCAATGAGAAAGAGAGACAAGGAGAGATTTTTTTTTGGGAGTTTTCGCTATAAAGATGGAAAATTTATCGAATCCAAATGAAAAAGAATATGTGGATTACCATTTATCACATCGATCCATTGATCAACCAACATCAGAAACTCTGGTTTACTATGAGCATAGATTCGTTGCCCAGAAAATGTATGTATGTTTAAGGTTGGGAGCTGAGTAGTCTCTCGGCCTCGTCGTTTGCTTCAGCCTGTAACTTCCATTTCTATAATGACCAAACAGTAAAAGAACAAAGTAACATTAACACACAATTTCTGTCCAAAATGGAACACAAAACTGTTGTAAGTGAGTATTGAATTGTATATACCTCTTCAAGGTTTTCGAGTTCCATGATCTGCTCTATCTGTTGAGCAATGTTTTCCTGTGAAAACAATGGACTTTTTCCTTAAGTCTCAGATTCGATCATATTCAGATTCATAAGTAAACAGTTTGAAATAACTCACAGTATTGTTCACTGCCTCAGCTGCAAGAACATCACTGTCCATTTCCACCTCTATCTCAATCATTGAAGATATCTAAAACATAAGTAAATAGAAAATCAAAACAATTCTCTAATCAAGTGTAAAAAAACCAGAGCAAGAAATAAGATTTTCAAGATCTAAATAGGTATGGTTTCGTTTTCTTACTCTAGCATAGCTATCGATCAGCTCAATCCTTCCTTTTATGGAGTTCTCCAGAGCTTCTCGTACCTTCTTTACTCTTGTTCTTCTAGTACTATATTTTCAGTATGCAAAACACAATTTATGATGTCTAACGATTCCCATATGATGAGGTCTAGGATGATCTGAGAGTGTCATACCGGTAAGCTGGCTCTCCCACGGCCAAAATTTTGTTCTCGAGCTGGCACATTCGAGCCAACATCCACACCTAAATAGACACAAAGAAGTTTCAGCTGTCTTTTGATTATATATTGTGGGTTTCAAAAGGTTGGTAAGTCTGTATCATGGACTTAGTACCTCTTTCTCGGTTGCTTCTTTAAGATCTCCAATGCGACGCTGTAGCACATCATACTGAGATAAAAGTTGCTGTTTGATACCAACCACATCCACTGTCCGTTCAGGGAGCTGAAACCGTGAAAGGGATTATTCAAATTCATACCCAAGACACTGACACACATTTCCTTTGCGATGTTCATCTGATAGAGAATACATACCTGATTTAGCTGAGGAAGGACAAAAGAATTAAAGGTTGCTCCGATTGCCAGTGATGTAACAGCAGCAACTGAGAGTAACTGAGGCAAACCGGGATCAATGATACCAGAAGCAGCATCTCCAGTAGCCAAAACAGCAAGAAGGGGAATTAGAAACGAGGGTTGCAAGATTTTATCTCCGTCTTTACTAGGAGGTCTGAACAAAACCGATTCTCGTCCGTCCTTGTGCCTTGTGAGGCTCATAGGTTCTCCAGGGTAGAGATTTGGAGATTTAGGGGTAAATTTGAACGGTCCTACTTGTCTGTAAACGTTAGGAGGCGCAGCAGATGCAACTGTCACTCTTTCTCCTTCTTGCGCAGGGAGCTCGACGGTCTCAGTGGCAAACCGGTGCGTTCGTGCTGTACCGGAAGGAGTTTGTACCTGAAATCCAATGCAATGGTTACAGAATCTGCTGTATCCAATTTTATTTTCATAAAAATGAAACTGTGTTGATAATTGGGTTTTTACCACAATAGAGTGCACTGAAGAGATGACTTTGTTCTTCTTTATCTGGATTAGTCTGAGCCCTTTTTCCCACAGAGGAATCTCCTTGCTGCGTTCGGTAGATGTAGCTCCTTAGAAAAAGTGAATATCTCAGAATCAACACCACAAACATTTCAGTCTTTTCAGGCCAAAATAAGCTGCATCACTTTTTCCCTAGAGCTATGTAAAAAATATATAGATGAGAACTAACCCAAGCTCTTCTGATTCTATGCTGATTATGTCACCAGAGAAAAGCTCGTATTGGTAACGGCAATTAGCGCATGAGACAATCTAGAAACATAGTCACCAAATCATCCACTTATTCTTTAAAAATGATACGTTTGAGCACTAAGCCTCGATCAAATCAATCATTACCTGAACTCCATGCTGGGGTTGTGCAACAGCAATGGCAATCAAACAGCTCGGACATCTCACAATTTTACCAAAGGGAACCTAGAAGATCAATAGCAGTGTATTCAATTCCATGCTTACAAACATAAGCAGAGTACATGAACCTTAAGTAAACTCAGACCAAATTCAAAAGAAAAAAGCAATGCCAGAATACAGTTTGTTTGATGTTCTTCCTTCACTTACCTCCTCAGCAGGAGAAATTCCGACACGGCAAATATCTCTGATGATCTTTAGAGAATCAGAAACCCTCAAGGAAGCAGCAAGACCATTAACCAACATCGTGTAAACCTCAACATCAGGCCTTGACCATATCCATCGATCAATTTCACTCCCACCTGCGAAAAACGCATAATCAAACTCTGAAATTTGCTTAATCAATCAATCAACCACAGAAACTTCTTCTCTCGGTGAGATGAGAGAACCTAAATCGAAACTCGATCGCATTGCATAGAAAATCGACAAGGCAAGCTCAACATTGCCACGACTCAAAGCAGCGGAGATTATCGAACGACAGTCTCCAATTTCAACGATTCCTCCACGATTGGATCCGAATCGATCAGAAATGATAACAAGCGCTTCATCCGCATCCCTCACGGCGGATACGCTACATAGAAGCTCATCATCGAGAAGAGACGAGGACGAAACATCGGCGGCGGTACCGACACTGTCTCTACTCTGGTCACCGTAAGATGAGTATAGAATCGGCCGCCGTATACGACCGAGATACGCCGGTTTGATGAAGAAGATAGAGCGAAGAAGATGATGGGTCTCGTGGAGATTAGGGATGCGATTGATTCCGGAGAAAACGGAGGAAACTACGCGGAGGCTCATTGTTATAATCGGAAGGTGAAAAAGGAAGAGTCAGTCACCGGCGAAGAAGACGGAGGAGATCGGTGGACGATTTGACGGAGATGAGAAACGAGAGGCTAAGAAAGAGGGAACAAAAGCAACGGTCTCAAATTTATGTTGTTTATTGCTTCGGTTGATCTTGCGTCATTGATTTTTCG